CGTGGCGCGGTTGATTTTGTAACTGTGCTACAATTATGCAAATACAGAATCATCGCTTATTAAAACAGGTTTGTGGAGGCATTTGGGCACACGAAAATCAAACTATCTTACCTTTCCATTGTGACTCATGTATAAACAGCAAGCCTTGTTTGCCAAACTGTGACCAGAAGAGATACAAACGTGGAAAATATTCCACACAACAACAGATCGAGTACAAAGCATTTTAAACGCGGACCGTTCGTCGCCACTCCAGCGGCAAAGCTAGTAATTTAGACTGAAAAGGTGTTGCGGTCTCAATTTAACTGACAATTTGCTCTTATATCTTCGAAGATAAGGATTTCAGTTGACACCGCCGGCGACTAAGAACTCATTGCTTTTCACAACATGAATTAATTTCAAAATCTTTTAGTGAAAACCAAGAAAACAATTTTGAATCAACACAAGAAAGACTCGTAAGGGAAGAAATAGAAATGCTAAGGTTTACACACAACAATTTCTCCACTCAAGAAAAACAATCGAATTTATTTCACGAAAATTATTTCAAAAATAAATTTTCCCGCTAATGATAGGAAAAAGCTTTTCAGGTGCAGAAAAGAAAGGGAAAACAAATTCTGTACTCCCTCGTTTATAATGTGAGCCAAATTTCACGTTTTTTTTTTTACCTAGAACTGTACTTTTATATAAGCGTGATTTGCTAACTGTACTCAAATTCAAACTGAGTGATAATTCGAGTATGATCGATATTTACCCTGCTTGGTACATTAGAGTACTTAGCAGCCGCACACTCACATAGAAACTCAAGTTAACAGAAAGAAAAAAACAATTGAAACCTCTCGATACTCAAATTGCCTTCATTTTACATTTCTTCACATTTAATAATTCTTTCTGTTGCTTTTTTTTTGAGGATTCTATTCCATTACGTGACTCGATAGACCCTATGCATGACTAAGAACTGCGCCACAATCTTAGTCACATGATACAGCTTTCGCACCGACAGTTCCGTTTTCCTTACCATTATTGTATTTTAAAACTTTATACATGCCTTTAGGAAAAGAAACGAAAATCTGCGCCGGAAAATTTAATTAACAATAAGTTCCGATTTCATTGACGAAAACGGACGTTTCAGGCTTCGCTCCGGAACTGCTGCTAACTTTGCCTCGTGTTCAATTTACTTTTCCTGTACGACAGCTTTAATTGTTTTAATGTTTTTCTATCACAGTGTCGTTAAAATATACTGTTTTGACTTGTCCAAGACTCAATGTACATCGATAATTTCTTGAGCCCGCGGAAATACAGCGGACTCAAACATTCCAAAGTATGACGTCATTTTTGTCACGAAAAAAAAAACTTACCTCTTCTCCGGCCAGCCTCCTCTCGGCCAGGTCTCGGCCATGTTTTCCAACAGCAAGATGGCGCCTTTGTATGCTTGACGGGGGATACCTGGTCTAGAGTGGGATGCATAATTTAGCAAGAGCTATTACACGTTACAGCTGTAATTATTTATAGAACCGTTTATTACATTAAAAGTAATAAATTAGTACTGGTAAAAACAGAGTTTTTATTCACATTTAACAATTCACCTGGTCCTATATGACTCAAAAAAATCACAGAACCCTCTCTCGAATTAGAATAACTCTAAACAAAGCCAAACGTACCTTGAAACAGTAAACGAGTCGTTTGAAAAATTCTAAACGATTTGAAATAAAAGGGATGGATGGAAGGAGAAAACTATCTGCTTGCTAACAATTACAATACATATTTAGCACGGTTGCTAATTTTGTCTGCTTAAAACCAGCGCTGTGCCTTGTTAGTTATCTCATCGAACATATTTATTCTATTCTTTTCACGGCGGTCGGTAGAATACGGTTTCAGTGAGCAGATATAAAACCAAGCGGCTATCAAACGCTTTCTGATAATTTCATGGCTTCCTAGAAGCGCTTTACAGTGAACAAAATCGATGGCTGTGGTGGAAATGGTTTTCGTTTTACAATACTTCAGAATTAAATATGTCACTGAGGTTTTGGCAATACATTCCAAATTAAACACCGAAAGAAAAATAAACTACAAATTAATACTTGTGAATTAGATTTGTAGACGATATTTCTTGAACATGAATACGCTTATACGGTTTATATGAGTCTGAATACCAAATTACTTGACACATAGCTTATCAATTGAATTCTGTTAGCCAATCGGAGAGCCTTAAACTGCCTTCTAAGTGTTAACACGCACGTGTAGCAGACATACCGCAAAAATCACTTGAAATTTTTGTTTGTTATATCTTTTTGTCGATAAGATAATACTTTTTCTGGTTACTTTTAGAAACAAAAAATGACTGTAAAACTGTTTTGAAAACGTTTATCTAAAAAGTTTTTTTAGTCAAAAGGAAAAGTTTTATTCTCAGTGGCCTTGAGAGCTGGGCACCATTTGGCTTCTTTGACTTTGCTTGTCAGTGACGTGATTGTAAATGACTACATAATCTACATATCTTGCCATTAGTATCCAGTCGCATCTAACTAGATTCACAAATCGTCTGCGATGCATTTATTTTAATGATAATAGAGACAGCTGAACGGCAACAATAGGACTCGAACAAACCGCAAATAGCCGATTGGGATTTAAAATGGATTTGCACTCTTCCAAGCTATATTGACGGAACAGCAAATCGACATTTCGCTTCGCCAACGTTACGACCCTCGTCAACTAAAGAAATCGCAGGATTAGAGTGGTGCGTTGCGGGAATTTCTTTGGTTATTTAATTCTGCTTGCTGTCAATGATGGCCCACAGTAGCAGTTGGAAGCGAATGAAAAAAGTGTTCTTTCCGTGGGGAAAAAAGAATCGAAATTCGCAACCGCCACCTCCGACACCTTACAACGACGAGCTGACATCTTCTCCAGGTAGACTGGTCTATTTTTTTTCTCTCTACTGCAAAATAAACTTGTTCTAATATCTACCCAGCTTCTAGGATTCTAGTCTACCTTACACCTTAATACTAACGAAGAACGAACTGTAATGTGGGTTCGGTTACCTGTAGCTTATGAAGTTTAGCGCGGTTTAATTTTCTGGTCTGGTCAAATCAAATCTTCCCTATGGTTCAGGCGGCGACCCGAATGTAAGCTTAAAGAGGAGTTCTCGAACGCGACTCGAAATTGCTCGATTAGGCGCATATCTTTATTGAGAATAAGATAAAAGCTTTCAAAAACATCGAGTTTGTTACCTGTCAAGTAGACAGTCTTACATAGAAGTTCAAATTTGGTCGTGCGCCTAAGCAAAGAAGTTGTTAATTTCGGCAGCGTTCTGGTTTGATTAATAATGGAAAAAGTAAGCTTACAAGCTCGGGTGGAACTTTTTTTATAAAATGTTGCCGCTAAAGGGAAAAAGCAAAACAAAAAAAAAAAAAAGGAAGAAGAAAAGGAAAAGGAACTGTTTTCTGACGCGTTTTTAACTTAAAGCTGGTTATAAGTTTTAGGTTTGAAGAAATATTGTTGAGTTCACCATATGGTTTTTAGTGCGCTAATGCAACCAAGGAGAAGCCAGTTGGTAAACAGCGAAGATACATTAATTTAGACCGGGTGGCTCGACGCGACAGTTTATTCTGTTGTTTTAGAGCAAGCACATATTATTTCTTAAGAACATAGTGGGTGTTGCGACTATAGGTAGTCTTTCATAAGCCCAGTGTCTCGACTATGGTATTGCTTGGACGTGAAAAAAAGCGCAAAAAAAGAAAAAAAAAAAAAATTTAGTAAAGAAAACGTCGACGTTTGATCAGAAATCATGCGACCATAATTATTACCATGAAACACATGCACATTCAATTCGTCAAGTGCGGTTCTAGGCATTTTCATTGCTTTACGTGGGTGGTTTGGAGTTTTAGCGAGATTATGCTGGAAAGTTTGGATTTAAAATCTAAATGAGCTGCGACACCTTTGAAGCGTACGAATTAAAATACTTAAGTGTATGGAAATAAGAGAGAGTAATATGACAAATTGCCGAACATGAAATGCACTAGTCAACGCCCAACAGTTGGTCTTTATTGATGGCAAAGAAAAAAAGGCTACTTTAGAATAAATACTTCTTGAACTTTCTTGGCAAAAAAATGCGGCCATTGTGCTTCGTATTGTGTAGTATATGGTCGCATTAAGGAAATCTTGCTTACCGCGCGTTGTCAATTTCTTCTCGCGATTGATTTAGATCGGTAATTTTGAGTCCGATTTTTCCGATCTACGACTCATGCAAAAAAGACAGCCGTGACAACTACTGTCAAGTAATCTTTGAAGTCTAAATTAGAATTATTATTGCTTTTTTGTCATTTACGTCTTGAAACCTTCCTATGACAACCGGCTATTTTGCTGTTCGAACTATTTTAAATCATAAATTAAGCCGGTCGCATGCAAGGAACAGTTTACATGCATTTCAGTCGCTACGGTTTTCATTATTTGATCAGATAGATGGAGCCTTATGTTCAGCGCGATTTGTCATTTATCTTATCTTACATCTTCACTGAAAGAATATCCACATTCTAAGGTAATTTAATATACAATAGATCATATAGTCTGCGATTTGCATGACATGTGTACAGAGTATTGTGAATTAAAAATCCCGACAACACCATCTGTAACCATAGGTAACCAAGCAACCACTTTCTGGCGTAAGTCAAAAGAAGTAAACAATGAAACTAAAAGTCACTTTCTTTCGGTCTGTCCGTCGATATTTCGATAGAATTGTTATTCACCGAAAAGAGGTTTTAAAATTGGAAGGCGTTTAGTTCATGGGCAGCGCATATAGGGCGCAAAATTCGTTCAAACAGTTTGCTTAATGACAGAAAACGGACACTCGATAACAGCAAAGTTTAATGGTCACTTTCTTTTATTTCTATTGACAAACTTTTAGAGCATAACATAATATTTTTCAGTTTTATTTGCAAGTACAGACAACTTGAACAGTAGCCTTAATTTTTCAAAACGACTTGTTTACTGCTAAGGAAACCCTGCTAAAGTAAACAAACTGACAGTCACGCAAAATGATTGGCTGCTTAATGAAATTCAGCGCCGTGATTGGTTGTCTTCGTGATTTCACTGTCTTGAATGACGTTTGCCGCCAAAGTATCACGCAGGCGCCGTGACCGTGTAACCAGGATCTTTCCGCAGATGTATTTTGCTCATAACAACGGCAGCTCAATCACTTATACTAGAGATGAAAGTTATCGGTTAAAGCTACAAAAATAGACAGTTGCATTTGGCGTTAGTGAACTATTTTAGGAACTTCAAAGTAGATAATATGGATTTGGAACTGCCTGCCGGCTTCACAGACCTCCTGCAAGAATTCACGGTTCATGTTTTGCAAGAGAAACCTGACGATATCGTCGATTTTGCAGCCAATTACTTTATGAAACTCAAATTGAAAGAAAAGCGTTCAAAGGACGGAACAAAAAGAAAATCGAAAGGCGTTAGCTTTCAGAATGAGGAAGTAAATGGAGATGGTAATTCTGATGATGAAGACGACGACGAAGAAATTGGTATGAACTGTTCAAAGCTGCTAAATTAAGTCACCCGTACGACATGGTAGCGATCGGCAAGGTCTCGATACTCCGGAAGGATCTCAAGAACCCTTCAGGCGTATATTTCAATAGCTTTTCACCTTTTGCGACTTCTAGAACTTTGTATCTCATTAGCTGTAGATTACTGTTTAAACTTAAAGCTTCTGTTCTTTCAGATTAGAGTATGGCTTGCTGCAGTTAGAACTGCAGGCGTGCGATTTGAATTTAGCCCATCTCGCTAAAACGTTTATCTCGCGAAGAAAACTCTGTAGAGGTTGATTCTTGTACTTCTCTAACTGATCAGTTTGTTTTGAATATTTCAGAACCACCGAAAAACCGCTATGCAAGGCGCCAGTCTGGTAAGTTACGAAATGTGCAAGTAGTTTTGTTGCTCGTTTCTCGTCATGTTAATGTCCTTTTCATGCGTGAAAAATTTGATTGTAACTCTGCTACCTGGTGAGCGTTTAATTCGCGTATATTTTTTATGTTGCTTTAAATTCGTACGTTAAACGTTATGACCTAATGGAAGATTAAACGCCCCTCGGACCTTTCATGAAAGTGTACTAACAGTGAAAAGGGAAAGAGAATTCGTTCGCACAAGACGTAATTTTCATAACCGGCCAAATTGTTTGATGGCTTATCTCTTTCAGTTTGTGCAGAACCACTGAACCCCGACTCGGACGAGGAAGGCGACGAGAATCCGGTCAGTAAGGCATTAGTCAATTATCGTTTACGCTTGTTATGTTTGTATATTGGATGCAAAGAAATCTACATTATTTTGCTTAAATTAAGCCGGGTTTTTGTTCCATTGTTGGTTCTGGTGATTTAATTTGCAAGAGATTAGATCAATTTCGGGGAAAAAATATCTTTAGATCTTCGCCCGCAGCAAGTTAGTCATGAAATTAAAACGCAGCAACTTTTTGATATAGTTTAAGTATATTTATTGAAAGAATGTGGCGTCTAGTTGTAATTAGCTTTTAAATGTTAATACGTTTCTTATGCTGGTTGTGATATTGTGTGACTGACAACTTGAAAGTAAAAAGCTATCAACGCCATTATCGTCATCATTAAAATTCAAGTACAAAAGTGTTTAGATGCATTGTCTGTTAAAATATTCAATTATAATTTGTGTATCCTAGCAGTTATTGAATTTCAGTAATTCAGTGGCCACTGTTGTTATAGACTAGCCTGAATTCCAGCCACCATCCTCTGGTACTTAATCCTGAGAAATTTTTTTGCAAATCGTAAAGCCTCTAAGACAGTCCTGTGGCATAATAGACCATAATATCACTTTTGTTTCAATTCTTTAATTCCCTAAATTTTACTTCCTTTCAAATCCAGGTTGTCTACCCCAAAACTGATGATCAGCGGAAACGTTTAAATGATGCAGTCAAGAATATCTTGCTTTTTAAGAATGTTGATCCAGTAAGTTTTGACTGTGAAAGCTTTTCTTAAACCAATATTTGCAGTGTCTTGCTGTGTGATCTGAAATATTCAGTAGTTATCGCAATTATAGCAATTCAATGGGTAGTTCCAAAAAAAAAACCATACTCCATCCCAAGGAGGTTATTTGGAAACTCCAAGGGGGAGGGAGTAGCAAAAGCCAAAGTTTTAAAAGAAAAAAGTTTACCAAAAAAAGCAACCTTTATGAGAATTTCTTGATGGGTTCGTGTGTTCACTGCAAACTGTGGTCCCTATAAAAATATTTATTTTTGAGTCAGTTGTGTCTTAGGTCAGATCATAAAGAGGAAGGCTGTTTTTTTTTACAGGGACAGTATGACAGTAAAACACCAGGTTTTAAGAGAGTTTGTATGCTGATTCAAAAGCTCATGGATTCATTGATTTCTAGGAACAACTAAATGAAGTGCTTGATGCTATGTTTGAGAGAAAAGTGCAACCTGGAGATCATGTTATAGATCAAGGAGATGATGGCGACAACTTTTATGTTATAGACAGGTATGTGTGGCATTTTGTGGATTATGACTTGAAGGAGCTACATGTAACTGTCATGGATGTCACAGTCTAAAAAAATTAGACCAAATATTTCAAGTTTACCAATAAGTTCCTGCAGTCTTTGCTGATATCAACTTTTCTTCGTCCAGTTTCTTTTACTATTGTTTTAATTTTAATTACTTTTTGCTACTTTAGCAATCTTTAATCTAAGATTTCCCTCAATTTGAACATGATATTGCACCTTCAGGGCTGTGCTCTAGAGGCACCCAGGTGACACAGGCTACTCACTTTTGCATTTAGGTGACTGGAAAAACTCACTTTTTTCATATAAGCATAAGTGCAGGACACCCAGGATTTCATGGTTAGCAACCTCTTTGCTCCTTGTAATTTTTCTTGTACCACAGCCTTAATCTTACTAGAAAGTACTCAATTAGATACATAATGACATGGAGCTCCTTCAAGGTTCTTCGGGTGGTTTTATAACTCACTGGGGGAGCAATTTTGCACTTGAGTAATAAGGTCATGGATTCATTCAAAGCTCAGTGGATTTTTTATTTCTAATCTTTGTAAACCTTTTACAGGGGAGTCTATGACATTTATGTGAAAATTGATGGCCAAGATAAACTGGTAAGCAGTTATGATAATCATATGATTACTTTAATACTTTGGGCCCAATAAAGGAGGGCCCACAGTGGTATATTGATTTTTGACAAGTGTCTGTTTAAAATACTGAAATTTATTGACTAATGAAATTTTGCATGCTTTATTTCCCATTTGAAACAGGATTTTGCTGTTTAAGTAATGTCAGTAGGAACAATTCCTCCGTCTGTCTTTCATGTCAGATAGGTGAATTTATGGCAATAATGCTCTCTAGCAAGAGGCTTGGATCAATTTTGCGAGCAGAATTTTGAACATGATTCACTAATTTCTGCAGTTGGAATTCTGCAGGCAGAATTGCAGTTGAGCAGAATTGCAGTAGAATTCAGGCAGGGCTCAGAAAAATCAATAAAAATTAACACAAAGGATAGAGTATGTTTGAAATTTAAAAACAATGAAAATTAATGATTCTCAACTAGCATTGTATGGCATTTAAGTTTACTTCAGCCATAGAAAATCATCTCAGCAGCCTTACGTAAAAGCTCACAGTAGTCATTTACCTTATAGCAGGCAGTATGACAACTCAACTGTACCATGCTGAATTCAAGCAGAATTTTAGTGCTTGAGCAGGCCTGTTCATGGTAGAGGAACTTCCTCTGTTGGCACCTGCACGTTCCTGTGGTTTATAAACATTCATTGACAGAACTAAATATTCATTTTGATTGGTTTGATTCATGACAGGTGGGAGCATACAATGAGAAAGGAAGCTTCGGTGAACTGGCGTTGATGTATAACACACCAAGGTAATTGATTTCGAACCCCTTTTGTAAACACTCTGACATTAATTTCCTTTTAAGCAAAATGCGACAACTGCAAGCTCAGTACCTTTCTTTTTGTAGGGCGGCAACAATAGTTGCAACTTCAGAAGGAGTTCTCTGGGCTCTGGTAAGGATCTTGACTTTTGGATGAGAATCACTTTGACAGTTTGATTTTTTTAGCACATGTGCAGTCGTGGTCCCACTAGTTTTGATAGTTAAGGGTCCTTAGGATTCCCAGTTCCAAAGAGTTGGGGGTTCTTTTTGCTTTTCGGGGGTCCTTTGCCTATCTACTAAAATTTTTGAAACAGTAATGAGAGATCTGCGCGAGTTCCTGATTTGTATTTTGAACATTTATTTTATTTTTAACAGTAAGGATTTCAAATGTAGAATTCCCACTGCAATTTCCACTGGTCCTAAATTTGTAAATTCAAATAAACATTAGGTTTAAGTTTACACAAGTAAGTTGAGGGTGCCTTTGAATATTGAATGTATGTATGTATGTATGTATGTATGTATATTGTTGTTGTTGGGATTTGATTTTAGATGGCTCCTTACTACAGAAAGTTTGTTGTAGGGTCACAATTAATATGCAAATTAATATTGTTTTATTTTTGTCATTCAACAGGACAGAAATACATTTAGAAGGATATTATTAAAGGCAGCAGCCAAAAAGGTAAAAATTTTCTGGAGTTGTACAGTATAAGTGTACTATTAACAATGGTAGTAATATTAATATCCTTTTCCAGAAAATATCCATACCCTCCCTTCCCATGGAAGGTCTTCATGGAAGGGCTTTTCATTTGAACCCCCACCCTCACCCTGTCAGATATTCCAGTTTTTTTTTTAACTTCATTCTTGCCTGTAAGATTTTTTCTTTAAATAGACCTCCCCAGTCTAATCATGAAAGTGATAAACAAATTGACAACTGGGTGTGAAAACAAGTGTGTTTAAAAATGTGAGGTGAAGATAGGAATTAAGTTTGGGAAAATGGTTGATTTAAGTGCAAGAAGTGACTTTTTAAAATTATTTTGTTTTTATTTTTCAGAGAAAAGTTCATGAGACTTTACTGGAAAGTGTTCCCATGTTGAAGGAGATCACAGTAAGTTTGTTTCCCCGATAGATTTGTGAGCCTGCAGTGCATGCCAAGGGTTCTAGCCGACATGTTTTGTACGCAGTGCAGTGCACTTTTTTCACGCATTGCATGCCTATATTGTTCTTTTTGGCCATTCATGAGCTATGAGAGCTATGAAGTATTTTTACGCTTAAGATGTTATTGTGGTAAAAAAAAAACCCATTAGTTGGAATTCCTTTTTTTATTGCTGAACTGTATGCATTCAAATAGTGGGTTTTTTAAAAAAGTGTTAAATGTTTGTTAACAGGAGTATGAGAGGATGAACCTAGCAGATGCATTAGTATCCAAGAAATTTAAAGATGGAGATTGTGTGATACAACAGGTAAGATGCTAAGAGATGCTGAAAGTGATCATCAGTTCAAGGATACTGTCAATGTACCAAATCTAATAGCAGGCAGCCTACTTCAGCTGGTGGTAGGCATTAGGCCTTTTGGAGTTCCTATTGACCATTTGTTGTGTGACTATCCTTAAGTAAACACCTTAAAATTCCATTAAGGGATGGACCATTATTTTTTTGAGGGGGTTGGGGGAGGGGGGTGGGGGGGGGGGGGGGGNCATAGTGAGTAGCGTAGCAGTGTGCGCTTGTTAACAAAATGATGGCCGCTTCTTTGCATTTTCGATGTGTCTGTGAAGAGGATTTAGACAAAGTTTTGAATGACTAGTAGATTTATACTAAAATCATTAGATTATTTGCCCTTGATTTCTATGCATGATAATTGAATTGGGCTGTGCCCTTGTCAACTATCACACAATAGAAATCTTGAGCTCACAATCTAATTGTTTAATAGAAACACGGTTTTAAACCAATCAGCACGCGTACTTGTTTTGGGTTATTTTCTAATGTTATACAAATAGTACTTGAGACACCCAAAGTCAAGAGAGGGTGTTTGGGGGATGGAAATTTGACCAACTGAAAAGTCAAACTGTCTAATGCCTGGGAAGGGGTGGGAGGAGTTGGGGGAGGAGGGGAGGAGGGCAATGTTGAATCAACCTTGTCATACAACATACATCATTCAGCTACATCCTATTCATTGTTAATACTACATTTATCATTTTTGAACAACTTCCCCAACAGGATCTGATCATCTTCCCTGATGATATTGAATACAAACGCGTCAAACAGTGCACAACAGGCAGGGCCTATATCTTGAAGTTCAAGTCATCCACACGGAAGTTCTTTTTTTGGATGCAAGAACCCAAAACGGACAAAGATGATGAGTATACCACCAAAGTGAACAACTTGCTTAACAACCCTCCCACTCCGGGCTCAGGAGGTGGTGGTAGCAGTGGGCTCCCCCCAGCCTTAGCTGGATTATCTGAGCAGTTAGGTGAGCACTGTATATTATTTTTTGGAATCTATGGATTCCTGCAGTAAAGGTAAAATCTGTGTCAGGTCAAACAGCTCTCACAGCTGGAGCTTATCCCCGTTTCTGTAGCTTTAAGCAACTAAGAGTATTTCTATTCCCCCTGGATGGGATGTTAGTCTGTGGGAAGGTTACCCCAGCATAACTTCACCAATACCCATTTATACACCTCTAGCATTAGTTCCACTTTAACTAAAACTAAAAAGGCCTGGAACCAGCAGAAGAGAGCCATGTCTATCAATCTAACACTTGAAAAATGTTTAGACCCATACAGGAAGTATTGCTAAATATTAAATATTGTTTACCAGGTGATAGTCAGCTGCAAGGCCTGTTGGGTAATTTGGATCAACAGCAGCTGTTACAGTTATTGAGTGGTTATGGTGGACTGGGTGGCCATGGTGGTCTGTCTAGTGCTGGCAGCTCCATAAGTGCACCTACTGCGGGTTCACCTACGTAAGTACATGAATTGTGGTGGAAATGTATTGAATGTGAGGTATGCATACGTGTTAGTCAAGAATGAACATGTTCAAATAAAAATGATCTACTTAAGGTTGTGTGCTGAGAGGCATTGTGGCAGAAAAAGGCAATGGAACTCAAGGGATAGTGGTGCAAAATGAAAACTGATCAAATCAAAATTGTAGCCCCACATAAAACGTTTTATGAAAAACTGGATCATTGGATAATGCAGTTTGAGCTTTTTCATTGGCTTAGAATCCATCATGGGTTATGAGCCATTATACCATGCTCTATAAATATGGTAAACATGGACACATGATTTTTTGGGGGCATTTTTATTTTTATTTTAGTCTAGTTTTCTATATTTTACGAAAAGAAGCGGTTTTTTAAAACATTTAACGATAAAAAAATTGCCAAGCGTCGAAATGTCGTCAATGAACTTTTAATATGCTTTTACAAAATGTTTTATCACAATTTTGTATATTTTGGTGGCATTTTTAATAACACAATAGACCAATTTCGATATATTAAAATTCAGCCTAACACAATAGACCTCACCATGAGGCTCTGGGGAATAAACCCCACAAACTCTGTAGTTATTCCCCAGAGCCTCATACTGAGGTCTATTGTTTTAGGGTGAATTTTATATATCGAAATTGGTCTATTATTCCATTCACACTTGGATGTGAGAAGATCAGAGCCAACTTATATCCAATGTGTGCTCATGGAATAATTGTTAAATAGATATGTTTCATAACTTCTGAAATGGCTGCGTCATAAGCTTCACTTACTGTACAATGTTCCAACAAGTTTAATCTGTTGAATAATTGATTTGAATTTTTCAATAAAAAAAACAAAACACTTAAATTGGGACAATTTTTTGTCCACTTTATGTATAAAATACTTAGTTTTAAAAACATCCTGACATTAGTAACCAGGCAAAACCTGTCAGAGAAAAATAAAATCAGTCGATGAGATTTGTTACTGAACAGGGGCTGATTTCTAGCACATTAGTAAAAAAACAATTCCAAAAACAATTGTCAGAAAAAAAAAAAGGTGACGGTACATTGTATTGCGATACCACTTTTCCTCATAGGCCCACCAGGGTGCAGTCCTCACCAGGACCCAGGAGTACTTCCTCTACCTCATCATCAGGGACAACCACACCACGCCCTGCAACAGCTACCCCGACTGTGCCCCCAGCTGCTCCATCCCGTCCCACCCAGCCTCCTGCCAGGCAAGCTGTGCAACTGAGTGACTTACAGAATATTTTGTCCAACATTAACGGTAAATTTTTGGAGCTAAGGACTGTAAGCTGCACATCATAGAAATTAATTAGTAACCATTGTTTCAACACTCAAACGCTGCATGTAAAATGTATATTGGTCAATTTGCTCAGCTGGCATTTGCTGGAGAAGTCACTCAGAGCTTCTGACTTGAAAATGTAATAAAAAATTTTTTGACTGTTAAAGTTGCAAGGGATGTTGCTTATAAAAAGGAAGGGTATAAAAGGAATTGCAAGTTAAAAATGGATAGCCGTTGGGTTGGAATGAGGGGAAAATGCTATAGTGTATGGTATAGTAGCAACAACAAACATAATGAGTCTTTCTATTGTTTTCTTATTTCTTTCTACTTGTCCAACAACCATGAATGGAACAAGCCACAGTAGGTATCATATTGAACAGTGGCTCTTGGTTGAAGGAAGAGGTTATAAAACATTGGGTACACTGAAATAGAAGACTTGTCAGCCTTTCCAAATATCCTGACTAGGCATGCTAGGTTACTTTCTTACATCACACTAAGTAAAATGCTAGCAGTAAGAACAGTAAGAATAACTAACTATTGAATGATATTGTCGTTGCAGTACCCACTGAGAATGCAGAACAGCCAAGAGAAAGTAAGTTATGGATAATAATCTTCTCCCATGCAAGTTGTTTTCTTTTGTTTGTTTCAAGGCGGCTGGAAAATTCCTTGGTGGGGAGGGGGGGGACTCCCATATGAAAAGGTGGGGATGCTTGTGAGAACATTTGAGTTAACCCCTAATGGAGATCATCCTTGGCGTGGCTTGAACTTTATCTGACCCTGAAAAGTTACCACTTAAAACAGAAATGACAGCGTTTTTTTTAATACTATTTCTGTGAGTGCACCCTAAAAGATACTTTGACCGCTAAAAATAACTTGGCTTTTTCATCCTGAGCACCCCTAAGTGAGACGATGTGCATCCCTGACCTTTTCATATCCAGGGGAAATTCCAGTTTAACTATTATTATAAATATTTTTCTTAATGACTGAGGCTTTTAACCCCTTTGCCCTCAGATTTTCCAATGACCTTTACTTGGTGTCGTGTAGGTAGCTCCTGCTCTATTGACAGTTTGTTTATTCATTGTTCATTTCAGCTGTGGATCTGTCCAATGTGCTCAACCCTGATTCACTGATGCCCTTACTGGCAGACCCAGAGTTCCGTGAGCAGCTTGCTCCATTTCTTCCAGCTGGCGAGGAGCTGCCACAGAGTCCCACAGAACTGTCAAGCACCTTGCGTTCACCTCAGTTCCAGCAGGTGGGTTTGAGCATGTCAGTGGCTGACCAGATGTAGGATATTTGATCAGTATTGTAAGCCATAGCAGGGGAATATTGCATGTAGTGCTTGAATCTTTTGAAACTAAGCTTGTCCTCCATGTGTGGGAGATGTGGTGATACCATCTTGGGCAGTCTAGAAATGATCTTAGTAGCTTTCAGGGTTGTCAATAAGTTTTAAGTCAACTGTAGCCTTGATCTTCACACCTGTAACAAACTTGTTATCTTTTACTTGAATTGTATCAACTATAGGCCAGTTCACCCATAATATTAAGGGTCCTTCAAACGTACTCAGCTGTAGCATGTGTTGGGGTTACTGCTAGTAGGCTGACTGACAGCCCTGAGGCTTACTCCTACAGAAACCAAAATAATCTCCAACGACATATGAAGACCCTTTGACCGACACAGACTAGCATCCCATCCCATTAAATCCCAGCGTAAATGCCCCTAGCTGTGTATTGGTATGGAAGCCGGGGTCAGCTCAGCAGCATGGGTCTCTTAGCCTGGTATTGCCATTACCTTGCCATTGGATTGTCTGATGTGGTTGCCTTAGTAAAGCTTCCATGACAAGGGAACTATTGTTCCAGTAGTCTAAGAGGAACACGTTTAAGAACTAGTATTTTTCTCAATTTGTCATACATGTGGTCTTCTTAATTAATGAATGTTAGGTGTTCTTATCATTATTACAAGTAAAATATGAAACTGTTACTACTTATTCTCGTGTTCAGGCCTTGGGAATGTTCAGTTCTGCACTACAGTCGGGGCAGCTTGCCCCATTGATGGGGCAGTTTGGTTTCAGTGATGACGTTATGGGAGCTGCTAGGAGAGGAGGTAAACCTCGAATTTGTTATTTATTAGCTATCTAAAGGAGCTGTGATTTCTCGAGAAAATTGAGCTAAATTTTCCAATATATAAAGTTTTGGTATTTTTTTCTAAATTAGTCATGTTGTAATCTGTTATTCTTTATCTTCCCTGTCTCAACCATCCTTGATTCTTTGTAGATTATTACCTTTCTTTAGTGGTTTTAAGAGGACTCCTTTTGTGGTTCCTTCGAATAGCTACAACAACGTGTTAAGTTGTCAGATGTAAGATGTTGATGAGACCCAGTGTCGTTTTTCAGTTGCTTTAAAATCAGCTTTATGCCCTTCTTGTTGACTTATGAGAATTTAAAAGTGGGTCGTGACTAGATATATTGTCTACTTTGTTATGTGACATCACGCAACGCACCTCCTTTTCCAACATCCTGTCACGCAGCGCTTCTCGTCAATAAATGTTAAAAGCTGCTGAGGAATGATATTTTCTGGGGCATGACATTTTGTTCGTCTTTAGGTTGTGCATGATTGTTTTTAATGGGTAATTGCTTTTGCAATATTTTTTATAAATTCAAACACAGGACCTGAATAGTAGCACTTGTTCAAAATTTTTTCCCCATTGCTCTCCTTGCATGAATTTTTTCGAGCAGTTTATGTTGTACAGGAATTTGTTTATGGAAACTCCCCCCCCCCCTCCATCTCAAAAAATAATGATCTGTCCTAATAAACCAAGACCCATTTTTTCAGGTAAGAACTTAGAAGTTGATTGATAAGTCATTTCTGTTGTTACTTGACTTGGTAAATAGACCTCTATTTTTGCTTACTTGAGATTGAAAAATTCAAGTTGACAGTGAGTCTTTGACATGCCCAAGTTTATTCTATGTTCTTTGCTTGTTACTGAATTCAGTAGGATGTGACAAGCAGCAACAGAAATGTATTGTTTGACTGTGTTGATATATAGTTGCATTTTTGCAGGGAGATGAAGCAGACTGTATGTACTTTGTAGAGAGTGGAATGGGATCAATTAGGATACGCAATCAGGTATGGGTTTTCGGGACTACAATGTGTTTTACAGATGTAGTTTGTGTTTGCAAGTTCTCATAACCTATTCTAGTCAAAGTTTGATATAATTATTTAACAATTCTGACTTGACCACCTAGGATTATGGGGGTAAAACTGATTGAAGTTATAAACATGTTGAGGGATCAATAAATATTTGCATGTTTATTCCCTTATGTCTGGTTGGAGCCAAGTCAATATTTTAACCCATTGACTCCTGTGCCGGCCGTAACTGGCTGTGACGAGCCTTGGCCTTTCTTCCTCTTCTGACGTCATCACCTTTGACCAAAATTGGCATCTTCTATGCTCAACTTCTGCAGGAGGAAAAGAACTTTCCAATGATACCCAGATCAGAGTGTTAGGCCCAGTGGAGCCTGAGATGTGCACAAAAATGCTCAAAAAGTTGAGTGAAAATCTCAGAGCAAAATTTCATACCACTACACAGGCTACTCCATGGCAAAAATTGGCTGTCTCGATGATGCTTTCTCAGAATGTTTTATACTGGAAGCAAGCACAGTAGAAGGAGAAAAGGAGAAAAAGGAAAGGCAAAAAAAAAAATAATAATAAAATAAATATATAAATGAAAAGGTTGAAAAGCCTAAAGATGAGGTCACTTTCTCGTCCAAAAACAAAATTTTGATTTCTGCGCATGCCCGAGCAAAAATGTCGTAAAACGCAATGCTAGTGGAAAGAAAGACAAGCTGTCATGTTGCGAATGCCTTTTTGAGTAGATTGGAGCTAATTTCGCCCATATCCAGCCTGAAAATCTCCAAAATGTCCAAAAAATGCATTTTGGGCTGAAGCTCCAGGAGTTAATGGGTTAACAAATTGAAATTTTCCATGACTTCTGTGGAACATTTCAAAAATTCAAGATTAAAGGTTTTGTGCTTTGAATGTTTTTTCTTTTTATCTAGGACGACCCTACTGAGGAAGTGGAATTGACACAGTGCACTAAAGGAGGTTACTTTGGTGAACTGGCTCTTGTCACCCATAAACCACGTGCAGCCTCTGTGTATGCAGTTGGAGACCTTGTCTGTGCAGGTAGGATTAGGGAGTACTTGGGCAACTTTTTCTGCTGACTTCAGATTTTAGATTTCTTGGTAATATTAAATGCTCATGTAAGGTGCACAAACCCTGCTCTTGAACTGGCAAAGGGTGGGGGGGGGGTAGGGGTACACAATGACATAGGGGAGGGGGGTGTGGGTGTACTTCTATCTGATTTTACATCCTCTGAGGGCTTTGGTAAGTTATTAATATGGACAAGTTTGATTGGGGAAGGGCTTGGAAGCAGAAGATATTTTTCCTAGCAAGACAGACTGGCCTAGAACTGGAGTGAAGGGGGAGATGTAAGCTTACATGCTATTATTGCAATCCCTAATAGAACTAAATTTTTTTCCTAGTTCTCGATGTCCATGCATTTGAGAGACTTCTTGGCCCTTGCATGGATATTATGAAAAGAAGCATAGATGGCTATGAAGAGCAACTCAAGAAATTGGGTTTAGGACATGCTGAACTTCGGTGAATTTAAGATCTAAAGACCGTGATTTAAGAACTGTTTAAAGATGGCCTATTTTTAGACACAAAGAACATTTTAACATTTTACTTTCCCGATGCATCCATGCCGAAAAAGTTGTTTTGGTTTTAACTCTAAACGAGAAAATTGCTATTGCATTCATTTCGATCAGTTCTGTGTATTTATAAGTAAAAAAAAAATTGTTCCTATTGCAGTTAGCGTTTGCATTGAAAAAATAAATTGGATAATTTATTGTTTAATAAGTTACTTTCTTTATACGTGAGAGATAAGAATGCATTAGAGACGTTTATTACAATTGTGGCAACTTCAACTGTAAATAAAGCATATTTATTAAAAAAAATCAGTTTCTTTGGTGTTGTCTATGCGGTGACTGAATGGGGTCTTAATCATTAAGGCAGGGTCCATATTGACCCACTCTGCAGATTTCATATCATTCAGTTATGCAGTGGGTCAATCGATATGGACCCTGTCGTAATGATTAAGGCCCCAACCACAAATGAAAACGCATACTTTTTTTATGTGTTTTTGCCTATCATCCACACCAAAACACCCAAAAACACTGATGAAAACAGTGTTGAAGTAGAGCTGAAAATGCTCAGTTTCTAGTGTATAGGTGATAACAGAGGCTTTTGAAAACAGTGATGAAAGAAGAGTCAGATACTGTCATTTCCATCACTGTTTTCCGTGTTTTTTAGTGTGGAATGATAGGCAAAATGTATCAAAAAATATGCATTTTAGAATGAAAAAGAATTACTGTGGACAGGTGAAAAAGAAAAAAAACTGAAATGCTAGTGAGGTCAAAAATATGTTGCTTCATTTTCTTCGAAATGAAAACACTTTTGAAAATGCATTAGTGTGGTTGGGGCCTAATATTTAAAGCCAAATTTCCAACCCCTTATGGGTTTTTGGTAAGGGGTAAGATATTGTGTTTCAAGTGGGTTCTTTAGCAAGATTCTACCACTATACGTTTTTCTTTTCATCGCTGTAGAATCAAATAAAACAGCTTACACAAGACAGGGTTTGCACGGGTCATGGAAAACCTGGAAAGTCATGGAATTTAAGCAAGGGTCATGGAAAGCCATCAAAAAGCAATATACTTTCTGAGAATAAAAAGGCAAAAAAAAAAAAAAGATTAAAAAAAATAACTGACGAATCAGAAATAGGCTTTAATTTCAGTACAAAAAGAGACAAGCATGTATTTTATCCATTATAATGCTGGAAAATATGTTAAATAAATGATTGTTTTGATACTACTGTGGAAAACTTGGAACGGTTATGGAAAAGGTCATGGAAAGTCATGAAATTTTGAAAGCTTAAAGAGTACAAACCCTGCCAGAGAGTAATAATTAAAAGAACTTGAGAAAAGTGCTTTCATACACAGGTAAAGTTAATCAACTTTTATTACAAAATCATTTGGAAATTAACATTAAATGAACATTTCATGTGTGTGCAAGAGTGCTTACCATTTAGCTGGAAAGTACTAGGTTGAAAGTCAAATGCATCAGAAAAGTTCTGGAAATCTCTCAACAAGTTGAAGCCAGGCTAGCCAAATTGTGGACTCCTTTTTTCACCGTTTGCTCATTTTTCCAGTTTTCAGATTCCCATCAGTGGAAAGCAACAAAAACTAAATTATTTATGGCAAAACAAAAAGTCCATCTTTTTTGCTTGGTCGGCTAATTTTGGGAATTCAGTGATCATTCCAGTCAGTTCTTTCCTACAAATGTAAAGCCACCCAAGTGTATTTTGCCCCAAACCTTTTGAAAGAAGAGTTTTCACACCAACTCTCATAATGGTGATAATACAATAATACATTTTATAGAGATTAAATAAACCCATTTCCTTACAAAAGGCAGAGTGCAATTTTACAAAGCTTGAATCAACTTAGATTTAAAATTCATTAGATCCAATTTATGTGTTGTTTTGAAAAACAGCACAGTGCCCGCACATATGGCAAGTTTCTCAATGATTTGTTTAATGCGAGCATAAATATTCATCTAAGGGCTATTTATATAATACGTAATGCGCGAACTCTGAAGTACATGTACAACAAAATAAAGAAAACATCAAAGACGTGTCAGTGTACAGTTTTACCAGAACACTTGCCACCAGCATTTCTCTAAACACCTTTGGTTTGATTTTTTACACAAGCACCGACTTATAAAATATTGAATGTCCTTGCATACAAACATCAGGTGAAGTTTTCCCATAAACAGGGTTACAAACTTGACCATCATTTATGCAGACTGAAGTGTCGCGACTGTACTGAGAACATCCAAAGCAAAGTAAGAACCCCGCTGTCGCTCTTAGAATGAACAAGAGATAACTGACTTCTCTTCACATTCTAGGAAAAACGCAACAGCAGGGCTTAACCTCAGCATCCTGATGCTGAAACATCGAAGCCAGACCGTTTAGTTGTTGCAAGTGTTGTGAAGACCTGTGAACAGAAAGTAAGAAACATGAAAAGAAGATATTTTGGCAATGTGTATGATATTTACATGAAAAAGCACCTTTCTCTTTTGCACCCCACTCAGGAGCAAAGCAGCTAATGAGTGCTACAACCCACGACAACAACAGCAGGTATTTGAATCATGAATTATTAAGCAGCATTTTTTTCAAAGATGCTCAGGCTCTGATACCCGAATGATTCAAATCCGGGAGGAGACAGTGGTATTGACTTCATTAGTTTAAAAATTAATGACTTTTTGGTTGTTGCAAGCGTTTCAAGATGAAAAGTGGTTGATGTGCTTTATCGAAAAGATCCCTCCCCTAAAAAAAACCTATTTGTCTTAGACCTCTCTGGACAAAGCTTCCAGGTGTTCAGTCTGTTGGGGAAAAAGGTGATTGAAAAATAGACGCTTTGAACGAGGAGCACCTTTCTTTTCCGTGTGCCATATATTGTGCTGCACTCAAACTGTCAAAACGCCTGGAAGAAGCTACTTTGGATTCAATTTCTGTGAAGTTTGTTTTTACATCATGATGATTTTCTTTACTCTCCTTACCTGGGTGTTTAAAAATGTATTCATATTGTTAGGAGGAAATAGCAGCTGACATAGCAATACTAACCTCTGACACAGTAGGGTGTATCCCTATAGTTCTATCAAAGTCTTTCTTGGTAGCTCCTAACTTGATAGCTACAGCATAGCCTTGTGTTATTTCACCAGCGTTTGGTCCAAGTATGTGCAAACCAACAACACGTTCCTAAAACAAAACGAAAGATTCATTTCCTACATGTAGTTCTGATCATTAGAGTAATACATATTCAAAATTTACAATTATTAGCATTTTGACGCCACACACATGAAATTATTTCAATCTTAATTTCATGGGTATACTATACATGTACCTTTTACACATTACACTTACGATTGAGTTTTGACTTGTTTAACTAATTTTTCACTTGTCACCAATTGATTACCCATACTAACTGCATTCAAAGTTGACCTGGAATGCCATGGTCCACAGTACTTACGTTATCACTTTTGTTGCACACCAACTTGGCATAACACCCTGCCATGTCTCTCTTTGCTACAGTGTACTCAAGAGGTTGGTAACTTGTGTGGTAAACTTCCACATTATCCTCCCCAAACTTGGCGTTGGCGTCCTCTTCAGACAAACCGATACAGCCATACTCCAGTGGCGTAAATACTGTTGTTGCAACATTAACATAGTCACACTGAAGGTAAAAAACAATACAGTTGGGTTACTTGCCTATAGGAGGATAAGTGACCTAACAGTTTGGTGTTGTGAGGAGAGGTTCAAATTGCGTACACTGTAGTTTGTGTTCTGTCTTGGGGCGTGGAGCTTTAAACTATCACTGACAGTACCTCTCTTCAGTTAGAAGTATAAATTATGAGGATTTGTTTATTGTTAACAGAAGCGACTCAACTAGAAATACTGAAGGGCTACCATAACTAGAGCACGGGTTTCATGAATGCTTTCAGCAGGAGGGTAGCTGCTTTACACAGACAGGCAAAACGATTTGAACTGAACTTCTTTGTAGGGAAAATTTTCCTCTAGCTGGTCAAACCAGGCAGGCAAAATCATCCTCATGGCCAGTCAATTTGCCCAGTGCTCAGACCTTAATTAAACCCCTGCTAGAGTGGACTAACCCCCCAGGAGGTGAAAAAGTACTCCCAGTCACTTCAAGTTAAGCTCCTCTTGTAGAAAAAAAGGGCAAAAACAGAGCAACTGGCAAAGGAAACATGCTGTTCCTTTGCCCTTTCGCTCAAATCAAGATCTCTCCTCTGTCATTCCTAGTTGCAGAAGAGAACAAACAGCAGCCTCATTCTTGTGGTCCTGGAAAAGAGTTCCACTTACAAGTTCATTACTGCCATTATACAGTCGCTGGGCCAGCAATCTTCCAGCCTGGATAGCAACTGGAGTTAGTTCAAGTTTGCCGTCTGCCATATCTCCTATGGCAAAAATGTTTGGTACACTGGATTGCTCATTGTCCCCAGCTATCACTTTTCCATTCCTGTAAGGAGAAGAATTTTGGTCAATACTTGATACAAAAGGGAATTTTTTGAAACATGCAATAGGCCACTCCCCCTTTGGGACTTGCATGCAGGAAATCAGTCCTGTGCACAATTCATACAACTACCACGATTACCTGCACGCCTCTCAGACAGGGAAAGCGGCATTTTGTCGCCACTGAAAAATAAGTTGCACAAGACCTTGCTTAGAGTAAAACCCTCTGAACTGATCCTGTCTTGATTGAAGGGAAACATTTTCATTGCATTATCACAGTGATATCTGACAACTTGATTCTACTTGGGAGTGAAAGGGTTAATCATCAATGAAATTCTAACAACTACTATCTAAACTAGTAGAGAGAATCTGTATGTTGAGCAATAACAAGCACTTACTTGGGATTAAGTTGGACTCCTGCATTCTCCAGTCCAATCCCTTGCGTGCATGGGTCTCTACCGATGGCAAACATCACCTGTTTGTAAACACAGTGAATAATAAATAATTGACAATATTTACAGAGGAAGCTACACCAGTCTTAGCTGGTTTTCATGCACATCCTCTATGTCAGTTTTTGTGAAGGAAGGAAAACCAGAGAACTCAGAGAGAAACTCTCGAAGCAAGGTGATAAGTTCCAACCTTTACCCAGTCTCTGTTTTTGCGTGAAATTTAAGACTGATGTAAGTTCTCTTTCAGTCAGTGAAACTAGCCAGCAGCCAGCTCTTAGCTACATACCAGCATGAACAGGTTACTGTTTTAAAAAAATAAAAATAAAATAATACATACTGTGTTACACTCAATAGATGTCTCCTCTCCAGTCTCCAACATCTTGTAATGAACTCTGAGCTTTCTTGGAGTTCCTTCTTCTATAAGTTCAACCTGAAAAGATGAAAAAAAAAAAAAAAATTTAAAAACAATTTTTAGTTAATCCCTAATTATCAGCTAGTGTGTACACATTGCAGGCCTTTAATGTTGCCCAACATTGTCTTCTTCAAGGTTGTCTCAAGAGAAACAGAACTCAAATATGTCTGACAATGATTTGCCTTGAATTCGACAGAAACAAGGGGCTAAACAAAACAGAGAGACTATCGCCCAGTAACGATTCAGAGGTATGACCCTAGAAATCAATCTAGTGTGCCAAGTGATTCCCTCATTGTGAAATATGACTGATATTGTCAGGGTGGACAATTAAAACAACAAAATTATCAATAATCAAGCATTGCACTTTTAAATTTCCAAAAAATATTAATAGTTAAATAATAACTGTAGGTGTTGAGACCCACTATCACACTCAGACTGCCTTCAAGTTCTCTGACCAAAACAAAACAAAAACAAAAGAAATAAAGAAATAAAATAAACAGATACTATCACATACCTTTGTAGGAATTGCTGGCCTTTTGATGTTTATGCCATGTGTTATCATATCATCCCCAATTTTTTCTGCCATTTGCTAAATGCAAAAAACATTTTGTTTGTCAATGATTTATTGCACAGATTATTGAATTAACTGTCAGATACTGTATAATATGGTTACTACTAATCAGAAACCAAGAATTCAGTCTATCTTTAATGGTCATATCATTACCTGATCAAAACCAAAAACCAAGAATTCAGTCTACCTTTTCACCTGATCAAAATCAGAAACCAAAAATTCGGTCTACTTTTGATAGTCATTACCTGATCAAAACCTCTTAAAAGAATTGATCGCACCAGAACAGTAACATCAAGACCGACTCCACGTAGGAATCCTGCGCACTCTAGAGCCACGTATGATGCCCCTACCACGACAGTCTCACCAGGACTGTGTTCTAGCGAGAACAAATCATCACTGCAAACAAAAATAAATATATCAAATAAATAAATAAACAAGCATGTTTATATTTAAATCAACAACATTGATGGAAAGATGATGGAAAGATGAATGATCCAATGATTATGAACTCAAATTTCTTGATACCCACCGGACTGAATTATAAGGCCTTATACAACCCCTGGCGTGACAAGGATAATGATGATGATGATGATGATGATGATGATGATGATGATGATGATGATGATGATGATGATGATAACAATAACTGAATTCTAACAATTCTTATTACTAATTACTGTGTCTGAGTAGAATTCTCTCAGATGCACGGGAGACTCATAATCAAAAATAATTCTGTTACCTGGTGATACCATATTCCTTTGCTCCAGGGATATCAGGGTAACGAGGCCGTAAACCAGTTGCGATAACAATGTGTTGTGTTGTCATCTCTGTTACCTTTCCTCTCTTGTCAACAGCCTGTTGATCACATAATCAACAACGTTATCATCGATGGTGGAATACACGTAACAACTAAAGTTAGATAAAATCTGAAACATTTCCTTCTCATACCAACATTTCAATCAAGTACCATTAATTAACAGAGCAAATTAAATCATCTCAGTACGAGATGCAAGTTGAGATCTTCAATACCTTGATTGTATGAGCATCTACAAGTTCCCCTGTTGCATTTTTGTATGTAACCTTTTTTTCCCTTAGTTCAGTTCTGTAGCCCCAGTTGAGTGAACCAATGTGATTCTAAAAGGACAAAAGGAAAGAAACATATGAAAGTGCAGCTTGTAGCAATAGCTTACAAAATTGTAAAGAATGGTGTTTGTTAGTGATAAATAACTAAACGACATCATAAGTTGATTGTTTACTTTTAGTTAACACTCTTCACATACTTGGACATTTTCTCTCATTGTGACCCAGTTGTGTTCCACTGAAAATGAAGAAGAAATTCAACAGGGTTATATTTCATTAGAAAAAATAAACTAGTTAAGCTAAAAAAAGAAAACACAATAAAGATGCTAAAGATAAAACAGCACTTACCTTTTGTATCAAAATTCCATCCATACATTCTAGCATCATCCAAGTCATGCCCTGGGGGAAATTGACAAAATTATTTTAAACAAGCACTTTGTAACAACCGTCAGGTTCTCATGCCCTGCGATATGAGTGGCAAAGCTGCTTCAGACAAGCTCACGAGTGATACCAGGCCTACGCCCTTGATTCCTCACTTGACTCTGGCAGCTTTTCCATTCAAGTCCAGTGTATGAGAGCATGCTCGCAAGCTATAACAATGAGTATGTTTTTGGTACAGTGTAGGTCTTTTTCAAATCTCACTCCTTGGGATCACACCAAGCAGTTTGGGAACTAATTCATGTATGCCAGTATATGTTATATCTGGCAGTATCTTTAACATACAGTGAGTATTGACAAATTATTTAAGGATTCTGTTTTGAGTGTTATGAAATTGTGCCTCAGCAGTTTAGTTATCATGCATCAAGACATACCTAGCAGGGCAGCTTGGTGCATAAGTTTCTTTGGAATACAACCAACATTGACGCATGTTCCTCCCAGACCTGAGGCAGACAACAACAGCATTGCTTAGTACTTACTAAAGACAAAATTATCCTGAATCTTATAAGATGATCAGAGAGGATTTTTGGTTAATTTGTGAGAATAAATGTTCTTAGAAAAAGAACTATGAAAATGGCTACTATAGACAATGGAGATTGCTTGGGTATTGACAATTTCAAATGTCAAGTAATTCCACCACTCAAAACTAACAGTAGCCAACCAGATATTCACTAGTAACAATTCAAATTTGGCTGACTGGTTCTAAAGTTCTGCTAACCTCTTTGACAAGGGAAAAATGACTATTCACAAAGGCTGTCAGGAAAATCAAACCAGGCACACATATTGTCATCTGTGTTTGAGTGATACAGTAATCAAAGGAAAATAGTACCAAATCTGACAAGTGGAGGTCTGGTGAGTTAAAATTTGTTTTTACTAGTAAAATCACTGTCACTATTGAGTAGCCAGTAGGCAAATGTGTTGAGACGTTAGTCTTAAGCCCTGAAAATCTCACAGTTAGAACCATATTGCAATTAAAGTTGACTGTACAAGATGGAGGAAACAAATTCCTCACCCCACGTTGTTCCAACTGGAGATGGTTTTACAAAATCAAGAACTGCTACTTTCTTTCCAAGGTTTGCAGCTTCCTTTAAAATAATAAAACAAAAACAAACAACAGTAATATTATCCATGTTAGTAAATGACAGGTTTTCAAGATTTCATGTGCTTGAAATTTACATAAAATATAAGTCAGACCAGTAGGTCTTGTTATACCTCCCAACTCAAATATGTTTTCTGACTAGCCTCACTAACTCCTAAGGGAAACAACAACTTGAACTTTCCACTCGCACATGATCAATTCATGCTCCTGAAATCATGGCAAACTTGTGTGCCACCTCGGCATCAAGCAAACAATTTTTTCACAGGCTTTTTTCTATTTTTGAGAAGGGAGGTATAACAAAACACTTAATGACTGGCCCTGTGGGAAACAGTGAGTTTTGTTTGTGCTTATTGAAAGTTAAGCTGTCTCCAAGGTGCTCCATTTTCTCAAAAAAATTTAATTGTCAACAATATCTCTTCACAAGGACTTGCATCTGTTTTTGCACCTTACTGAATAACTAAAGAGGCTATTGTATTCTAATCCTAAACACTGAATTTATTCCTCTTGTCCATTTCCTATAATTGGGAAAAATCACTATCATAAATGGCTTCAGAACGTTACCTTAGAGCAGGCAAGACCACCAGATCCACCGCCGATGACGACAAGATCATATGTGTAGTTCTCAGAAGGTGGCACAATCAAGTTCATCAGCTTGCCTTCTTCATGAAGTTTTATTGTGTCATCTGCTCCTCCGATGTGCTTCCCACGAATGAAGACATTTGGAACTGTTCTTTGTCCAGTAACCTCTTTCAGTTTTTCATGTATAGTGGTGCCATTGTCTGGAAGAAAAATGACAAAATTTGACGCATGTTGTCATCATAAACATCACTAGACTATGATGCACGCTCATGAATTCTGAGTTTAATTAGCACAACTTTGCTAGCTCAGCTGTAATGGCTGGTTGTGGTGACAGAAATTCTCAAGCTTGCAAGCAATAGTTCATGCCTAACACAGACATCACTTTTAAAAATTCCCTGCTTTTCCCTGATAAAAATCAAATTTCCCTGACCAAAAGAAAAAATACAAAACGCCAGATATAGTAACGGCTTCTAGTCTCCCCTCACAGCTGTCCTTTACATCCATCTATTAAGACTGACAAGTTTTCAACAAATTTTCCTTCTTTAGTGAGGAAAAATAGTCTTGAAATCAAATATTTCCTCCAGTCTTCAATGGTAATAAATCAGCCGTCTTAAATTGTCAATTTTCCCCCTCGGTGCTAAAAAATGTCAATTTTCCCTGATTCACAATAACATTCCCTGACTTTTCCCTGACTTTGAAGAATATTTTTTTTCCCTGACCATTTGCTGACCTGTGACAACCCTTCAGTTGCATGGCAATGCAGAAAATTAATGTAAACAAAGGCAACATTATGAGTTTACTCTATCTACCTCTGGTTGTAACTTTCTTTATCTATTACTAACAGTTTTGAATATCTCCTTCAGAGAGTAACTGATTGAGCTTATCAAAGGTAGCAACTATATTTTAGCACAAATTCTCCCAGACTCGCTCTCATAATCTGTTATTTTATGCAATAACTGACCTGAAGCAGGTTTAATTATGCATAAAAATGATGGCTTGTTGTTTTACCTAATAAATCCATTTCCATGGCTGTAAATGTAACATTCATTGACTTGAAAAGTTCCTTCACCTGTCATGTGTGGAATAAAGTATCATCGTTAAAAGAATCCATAATTATACTATATTGATATCATTGACTCGACAACATATCTCAGACAGTAAATTGTAGACCTTTGTGCAGAAGTTTAAAAGGCAGGAAGTTTAAAAGGCAACAAAGATTTGAAAGTTGCAAAACAAAGGTTCATTATCATAACATTACCCTAATGGCATGTAATTAGAAGCAGGAGTATAACGGATATTGGGTGGCAGAAAGAGCTTCAGGACCATAGCCAGAGGGCAAATATTAATGTGGCAATATTAGAAAAAGAAAAACACAACTTTCTTATTCATTTACTGTTTTAATGCATAACATCTTACAAGAACGTGAGATAACTAATTTGTCTGTTACTAGCTACAAAGCTGTGCTTACAAGATATCTGTTGGCTAGTCAAATAAACAGATGTTTTGCTTCATTTGTTAGGAAATTTGAATAACAAAAACTAAATGTTTGTAAACACCATCTGATATCTTCCCTATAACAAGTGTAATATGATGGACGACAAGTTATCCCTTCCATGTAATTTTGATGCGAAATTTTAGCATCAATTAATAATTTTACATGTGACATTAGAAAATTGCCATGACAACATTTGGCATGAAATATGTTGATACACTGAACAAGTCAAAAACCCACGATTATAACTGTAATTTTTCGCCTATGACATTAAAAGGTGATCAAATGGTATGCTTGTGAAATTTAGAAACAGTTTCACTCACATTTTGTCAAATCTCTAATACTTTCACTCCCATAAAGGCTCAGGAAATTATTAGAATTTTGACAAGATGCCTGTGAAATTATTCCCTAATTTCACTTGTTGCCATTTGATTACACACGTACGTGCAATCAATAGTGACAAGTGAAATTAGAAATGATGGAATTGACAATGTGGCAAGTTGTCAGCATATCCAAACTAATAAAATATTTCCAATTACGCAACTTGTTTACCTACATGTATAGTTAAGTAACAGCAAACTTTCACCTTATTTCATGAAACGTGAAAACCACTACAATCCAAAATCCAACATGAACCATTTTATTCACACATTTCTATTCCTGCGCGCAGATTTCTTACGAAAAGTTTTTCAAAGGTTATGTATAAACACACTCGAAAGTGTTTGCAGTAAAGTAAAGAAATAAGGTAGAGCGAATATCTGAATAATAATTGACATTGTATTCATAAAGAACACGAATGAGAGGAATTATATCGTAACATTTACTTAATCCGACAACAAGAAAGCTGTTAAGCTGATAGGAGTTGAAATTATAAGCCAAACTTGGCCGATTTCACAACAAAGGCGTTTGCTTGTCGATTCTGACGAAAATATTTGCTAGAAAATTCTAATTAAGAGCTGTGCATTTTCTGCCAAATAAAGATCCTGCTGTCACCTATACGCTTAAATATTCCTACGCCAGGCTATAACGGTACGTTTCATTGAGCTGTTTGGAGCAAGCTTCGATCGATATCGATGTCGTAAAAGAAAAAAAAATAGATTTCAGTAGTCCGATTATGCAATGCGTGCGTTCGGTGAAATTCCCCGGTTTCAGTTCTGCCTATTTGAATGCTGCTTATTTGAATACTGTTTTTCTTCGGATGTTGCTGTTACCTAACAAAATGAGGAACTCACCTTTTTGCAAAATGGACAGGTCGACTTGGAAAACACCATGACTGTGTTGTCTTTGATGTTCTGTTCTATCAAGTCTTTAATGGGCGCCATTTTGTTAGGAACTTCAGGCGAAGGCGTCCTTGCCCTCTTCAGGTTTGAAACTACAATACCAATGGTGGAAAAGAAGAAATTATTGGGACCAATAACATTTACTCCTGATCACACTGAGGGTATAGAGCGAGGATGTGACTGAGCATCTTCTTGAATGGCCGCAAGCCGGCTCCAATTCCGCTTTTATGCTGGTCACGTGTTGCTTCCCGTTTGGTTGGTTTAGCTATTTACCCAAGGTCAATATCACATAGCTGGGCTTCCTTGATAGGTCCGAAGCAGTTAGTTGAAAAACTCACCTCTTTTAGCTCGAAACCAATCAATTTGGCTCGATAAAAGACTGCTCTTCAGAACATGTGATATTTACTACGCGTACATGACGTCACGCGAGAAATTCTCGCGCGCGCGGGAAAGCGATCCTGTCGATTTCAACCAGGCCCAAAGGTTTCTTCTACCCCTGGGCTTCGACCTTCTTCGAGTTTGGTCGCAAAACAATACTATTTACAGATTTTCTCTGTCAGCTTCGGTTATTTTTTACCAACAAACACGACGAGCCGGCACATAAATTACAAGACTCCGCTTATTAGCAAAGCGGCAAAAAGTCTTGAAAAGATTTGAAAATATAATGAGTCACGCCATACGTCATGTAACCCTTGAAGTTTTCGCAATTCCCTAATAGGAACAGGAAAAAATAATAAAACCATTCCTTGTACGTGAATCCAGATTTTCCCTCTAGGAATCAAAGGTTCAAGTCACAAAATGTAGAGAGAAATAAATATTTTAACATTATTAATAATGAGACCTTAATTAATGGTCCTTAATGAATATCGACATGTGACAGATGTGGTCAGGCATTGATTACTGATGCAAAAAGTGCTTGAATAATTCTATCGATTTTCAAGGCTATATACGCAAATTCATTTGAAAGAATCGGTTTAACGAAATTCTTATTTCATTGGAGACTATTTTTCGACGTATTTCGTTTGTAGAGAAACAGCCTGGATGCAAATCTCGAAGCAATAGCAGACATAATAGGATTGAGCTAGACGAGTGAAAGCTGCCGCTAGTTCCCCGGAATTCATTGTTATCAATTACGCATGTCGAAGCAGATTACCTTCCGTGCCTACGGCTATATCTTCTTCCATCGTTAATTCTGCTAGTGTTTCTTTATGAACTAGATTCAGTTGTATTTAAGAGGTTCCTTCAAGTTACTATTACATGCAGATTGGCCTGAAACGTGACTAGTGAAATCGCCAAGTCACGCTGAATGAGCACGCAAGGAGCATGACTATGCATAACGGAAAAAAACTGCAGCAACGTTAATTGTCGCGTTGGCGGATATGTACGTACAGGAAGTTTAAGTGTGTTAAATGCGAAACTTCCCTCGTAGAAAGAGTTGCCTTCCGCCTTTATTTTATGTGCGATTTCTGCCGCTGTCTCGAGTCTGAAGCCTTTCGGGAAAGAAGCGCGGGATTTTTTCTCAGCTCGATTACCAACCGCTTTTCGACGTAGACCTGACTTGAGAGAGCGGCGTCAATATCAAGCCTACAATATGACTACAATACCGGACAAAATTAGTTGGGATACTTGAGCTGGATCAGGCATCCAGCTCAAGCGTGAAAATTCCAAGTGTTTTCAATCCAGTACGTGACACCTTTTACTGAAGAAGCCCGAACGGCGAAACGTCTTTGGCCTGTACGAAGTTGGGCGTCGATAAAACCAGGAACAAGGGACATTCCGGAACATTCCGGAACATCGAATAATTACAATAATCATGAGAAATATGTAAAATTAAATTTTCAAAAATTAAATTAAACAAAATGCTCCGGGATGTTCTGTGTTCCTGGTTTTATCGACGGCCTAAGAAGTTTGCTCCCTCTACACAGACTATATAATTACTAATTACTAATTGTGTAATTTTACGTGCTTTGGAGCAGGTGCTTAAAAGGTTGGTGGAGCTGGGTGACAAATCTTATATAATCAAGAAACAAAAATACATACAAACAAAGTCAAATGTTGTTCAAAATATCTTTTATTAAATGCAAATAATGCATCCTGTAGGAGATCTAAAAAATTTAAATACTCTTGTTTTAAGTGAAGACATTTCACAAATATTTATTTCATTAAATTATGCCTGCTCCACAGTATTGAGATGAAAATTTGTTAAATATGTCATAAATATTTTAACCTAGCTGTAGAAAATAACTTACTAAAAAGCTACAGACATATTTCAGTAGAAAAGCTTTAAATAACAGCGAGAGTGCTTTTCACTTAATCACTTGAGCATCAAACTTAATTCTCATTTGCTTTAGTTTTGCACTGCCACAACAGAGACTTTTTGATTGGTTTTAAAATCTCACGAAACTCTCTCATCCAATCAGAAGAAAAATCAAAATCAATTTAATTGTGATTCGTTCATACACTTTTCCCTGCACTTGATGCCGTTCCTAAAGGTGATCGGCTGTAATCAATTTGGTTTTGGGTTTTTGATACTCAATTGAAAAGAGCTCAACAGGTCTACAATTCAGGGCACAAAATGCAGGAGAAAGTGTACAAGCGAGTCCAGTTACATAATTCAAAGCCAAAGCAAAGGTGAGTTTCAAATAAATGCCCAAGCATCTAATACCAGATAACAGTTATTCTACAAAGTGATATCATTGTGGTAAATAATCTAATTGCAATTTTACATTGAAGACTACAAGTATCTGCAGATGCTATCTAAATGATGGTTGCTGTGTTATTGTCTTGTTTAACACATAATCTGTAACTTTCTCCAGGAGTTCTATGGTGGGGCTTGTGAGAGGAAACTCTGATGACAGTTTCTTTTTCACAATTGGCTTTCTAATGTAATATCTGCAATATTTAAAATAACAATGAGAAAAAGTAGTGGTATAATTACGTTGAGAGTGGAGGTGCGGTGGCCTCACATGGTTAGTGCACTCAATACCAAATTGAGCAATTCCAGTTCAAGCCCTGGCCGGCGATATTGTGTTGTGTTAGCCTGCAGTACAGGTGGATTAGCGGGCTCTAGCACGATACACGAGCGCACACCAAGCGCGAGAATGAGCACGAAGCACAAGGCAAGATTTCTCTTGCATTGCGCTTTGTGCTCATTCTCACGCTTCACACGCGCTTGTGTATCGCACTAGAGCCCGCTAAGCCACCTGTACGGCAGGCTAGTGTTGTGTTTGTGGACAAGACACTTTACTCTCACAATGCCTCTCTCCACTCAGTTGTGAAATGGGTACGCTGGCAAATTTAATGCTGGGGGTAATGCTGTGATGTACTAACACTGACAGTACCTGAATTCTTCAGCATATCCAACTCGGATCTGATTAGCTACCACTGTGCCATACTCCAGGAAATTCTTGAGCACGTAGAGCTGGCGGTAAAGAAGAACAGCATCGGCTGGAGAGAGATATTTACCAGAAGAGGACACTAAAGAAGTCAACCGCTCCATGACTCGCTCCACGAAAGCTTTCTGGAAATGAAAAGAGAAGAAAATAAAAATTTGACTATTGTAGATACAGTTTTTCTTGCCAATTCCAGGAAATAATTTTTCTTGTTTTCTTGTTTTACATGTAGTCTGTTCACAGACATTCTGTTTTCTATAATATTGTCACAGGTGCTAACAAAATGTAAACCATGGGGATCAAACAAGCATGAATTCAAGGGAATGCAGGGTGACAAAGAAAAAGAACATTATTAATATATTTTGCCCAACTTCCACTTGTTTCTATAATTAGTAGATACAGAAACATGGAAAAGGCTTAGAGTTCGAACTTAAGAAAAACCTCAGTGTTTTGCAATATTATTACGAGCTCACTGTTTGTTCTTGAGATTCCACGATCTTCATCAGCCAAAAAATGTTTAGAACATTATCCTCCACTGAGAAGCAATTGGCCTAAAATTGAAAGTTGAACATCAGTCTGCTGTTAAGTTAGTATCAATGGTATCTTGCATGTACATAAACAACAGCCCCCATTTGGCATGAACATATGCCTGGATATTTGTCTGCAAACATTATCTGTTCTGAGAAGAGAACAGTTTTCCCAGAGCAAAGCTTGAGGAAAATGGTGAGCTTCGAGGAACAGATAATGTCCAACATCAAATCAATATCTGACATATTTTCATTCCAATGGAGGCTATTGCATTAATTATCCTTCAAATATTTATTGCAACACAAAAATTGGGGAATATCACTCATATATTCCCCAGTTTAAGCTGGGGCATATTCAGTCAAGTGGAGTGTTTAGACCAATTATTGGGTGCAATCGAAAATATCTGATGAATTATAAGTTTTAATACATTATATGATTGACTATCTCTGCAAGTCGGCAACACAAGTAAAATCCTGCAATGTGATTGTCTACCTGAGTTCTCAAGTTCTCAAGCTTTTGTCAAGCAGGGATTGATATGCAAATGTGGCAATCACCTTGCTAGTTCAAAATGATTTTTGTACTTTCTTGTATACTCATTCACTCAACTAACCCTGAGAAAAGTGAAGGATTTTAAATTGGACTTACTAAGAACTTGTGGTGTAACGATTAATCGAATTCTCGATTAATTGCGATAATGACCGTTCGCTTCGATTCACAATTCTTTGATTCCATGTTTCGATTTTGGTTCGATTTTTTGCATACCTTTCCCAGAGTACTGCCCTCAGTGAGTTATATTGTGAAATCAGAATCCAGAAGTCTTTAAAATGTGCATTTTTGATTGATGAGTAAAGACGTTTGCAGTTCATGCACCATTTTGTGTTGCGTGGTAAAAATGTTGCCCTTCTACCACCCCTTGAGAATTTCCAAACAAGGCAAACCATGTGCGACATGCTCATTGTATCCTAAAATTGAGGGTTTAGGGCTGTATGTTGTTTACATTGTGTATCATGTTGTAAGAATTAAAAAACATTTAATATATTGCATAATCGAATTGAAATAAAAGAAATCGAAAGGTAATAATCAAAATTGAATCGAATCACAAGGAATATGAATCGTTACACCCCTACTACAGTAAGAGCCCAAACTCTAACAGTACATTGTTACACCTTATCTTTCCTTCCCCTTGAATTAAAAATTATACATTCAACTTTTACCCAGATCTTACCTGATGGACAACACAAATCAGTTCAAACAAAAGGGATGTAGCACTGTCCAAAATTTCTTTCAATAATTTATCAGTCTGCAAATAAACAGGAAACAATAGAATGGTGTGAACTCTGGACACCACAGTGCAGTGATAAAGAACCCTCCAAAAAGGTCATGATGAAAGAGTTGTAGCCTGCATTAGTCATTTCATCGTCAGTAAAGAAATTCATGGGCAGAGTTGTTATTAACTAGAATGATATAGGTTTAGGGCTGTGCTTTAGAAGTGCCGGGGGCCATAGGCGACTAACTTTTGCCTTTGGGCAACTGGAAAAACTTACTTTTTTCATACAAGCTAAGTGCTGGGCACTCAGGATTTCATGTTACGAACCTTTGGGCTCCTCGTAATTTTTGTTAGGCCACAGTCTCAACGTTGATAAAAAATGGCCAACACGACAGAGGCAGGATAAAAAATCCAAGTGGTGGTGATGTGGAAAAAATATATATGCAATTGGGTAGATTAAACAGTCAGATTGCATGGATGTCAGTTCACTGAGCTGCACATGGAGCAGAAAAGTAATGATTACCTCTTCATCCCCACCACCAACAATGAACATGCCTCTGTCAGCCCCTGACAACAAGAGCTGTGCTGCAGGGGAGATAGTGGCTGCAGCAGCTTTCTGTGCTGTGGTTAAGGGATGAATCACTGTGGTCCTCAGAAGGTCCTTGATTGCCTGCCCCCTGAGAATGAAATAAATATAATTTAATATATTAACCAGGCGTGAGGTCAACAAGGCTGAATATTGCCAAAGATGCTTTAATTCTTTTGCCTGTTTATGGATATAGACATGTACCAGACACAGACACTGGGTCCACAATCAAGCAAAGAAAATGGCATAAAGAGCACATATCTTGGGAGACAAACCAGGCAATCCCAATTCAGCAAGAATTAACCTTTGATGCATGTAGCAAGATAGGGATTCCACAAGATAGCACTCAATTAAAAGACAGGGATTCGGCAAGATAGTGCAATCTTGCCAGCTTGGGTAGCCAATGACAGATTGAAATGTGCTAACCTTTCTCTTCACTAAATTTTGAACAGACAACATACATGTAACTCCTCAAAGCCAAACAGAGAAACTACACACTCAGACCTCGATCTGTGCAGCTACATGCATGTCATCAAAAAAACTCTAGAATTCCTCCTTTTGAAACTCAGATGGATGTGAGTGGTTATGGGAGGAGGGGGAAGACATCCATTTAGTTTGGTTAGGATGCTGGAGAAATAACTTTGTAAACATTGATCTGTAGACAGCATTTTTTTCAAATTAAACACTTTTGCTCAGAGATGCTGCATGCAATAAATGACAGTAACCTTCAACGTCATCTACAATAAACTACTGTATATTACTAATGACATTGTAGGTAACAGGGCTGTCAATAAGGGCCATAACTGGTAACCCCTGTTACGAATGAGCATGCTTTATGAGCCCTTGTTGTCAAGGGTGAACTTGGCTGTAGTTGATTTACAATTCATCGTTAAAGTAACAAACATTATTTGTTACGGGTGTGAAGATCAAGGCTACAGGCGAATCAAAACTCAATGACAGCGCTGGGTAAGCTAAACTGCAGACTGTTCAATGAATACAGATAGGTTCATTGCTTGCCGCATCCCTTTGTGCATTACTTTGTGCTTTGTCAGTCAGCTTAGAATAAACTACCCTGGAAGAATATACAAAGACTTACTTGTTTGCTTTGATGACCGTCAATTGTGTAGATAAAATGTCAGTCTCACGAAACAGGCATACAAATGTCTGTAATAGTACGACAACATAGCTGTAAAGAAAATATAATTACAACTTAAAAAAATATTACATCAAAAAAAGAATGGTTAACTAACTAAAGATACCAAGATGTTGTGAGATAGATGAATATGTTTGTAGAATGAAGGGTGGTAAGTCCATTTATTATAAATTTATTATATAGACAGGAGTGTTTTACTGGAAAATACACCACTCGAAAAATTCATATGAAACCACATCCAGAACTCGAGTGGCGCATTTTCCATATCCTCACTGGTGAAGACAGCGATGATTTCACTGATATCAAGTTTGTCTCTTAAATTGTACTTAGATTCGTTGGTATATGATCGAAACAAAGGGTTTTCAATAAGTTTTGAAATAGCTGTCTGAGCTAACTAAAGTAGGCAACAAACTGATGAATTTTTTTAATAATTCGAGTGAAAATACAGACAAAGTAGGCGGTGGTAAGAGGTGAATTCTGACAAAGTAGGCATCAAATTTCGCTGGTTGCCGGCTTCTAATGAAACCCCTGGAAACATTTTGAGGTCTTCCTTAAAGTCTTCAGCAATGTTTGGAAATCTTCAGAAATTTTCGGAAATGTTCGGTAACGTTCGTGTGACCTTCGGACAAGTTTTGGAGAATCTTCAAAAATTTTTGGAAAGTGGTCGGAAATCTTTGGAAAATCGTCAAATGCCACTCGAACATAAAATTCACATCTTCTCATGACAACATGTTGCAATAGGGGTAAATGTAGTTATAGTCCTTGAGCCTTCATGATTTTAAATAATTATTATCTAATAATCAATACCAACACTTACTCTAGTTCATCTTCTCTGTTGCTTCCTTTCTTTCGAGATGAACGGTTGGATGACTGAGGCATATATCGCTGAAGTTGACCAACCATGAACAGGAAGAGATCTGGGGACTAATTAACACCAAACAATAACATTTCTTCACTTGTAAAAGAGCAACTAAAAACACAATTGAACAATATTTTTTAGAAGTAATTTACAAAACAATTACACTGTCTATATACCTTAATTATATACATAAATTATAGCAATTATTGTTATAATTTATGTGCTATAACATTCTTTTCTCATATGAAGGCTTGATTTGGAGAATTTGCCCAAATGCCTTCACTTTTGTCTAGCAAGTTAAATTTAAAATGGAGCATAACTATCGTTCTTTCTTTTGCTATGGCAAAACGGACCATGAAGCATTTGCATCTGTTCATTGTTGTCGTTTTCTTTTTACCTTCCAGAAATATTTCTTTAAATTAAAGCTCTTTTCTGCTGCTGTAAAAAGTTCCTGAATTAAAACAAAGCTCTTTTCCATGATGTGAGATTGTAAGATTTCTTGCTTCAACTGGTTAAACAAGTGCAATAACTGTGAGCTGAAAAGAAGCAAAAAAACATTGGTCAACCTGATAGTGCTGAAAGTAGGGTTAAGTTCAGAATGATTTAATTTCTGTGGCTAGTTGAAGCTGATGTCTGTCAATCACCTACTGTACATGTAGGCTCTTGGCAGAAATCTGTTACATGTCCTTGTCATGACATGAAACAGATTTCTGTAAAAACTTTATCTACAACTGCACACCTTTATGTAAAACTTTAATACATACTGCCTACTTGGAAAATTTCTTTGTTCTTTTTGAGATGAACAGTTACTTTTTTTTTCATATGGACACAAGGACTGAAAGATTCTTAGACAGAAGTTCTGATACTCCCAAAGATTGCTACATGCAAACTCATCTAGTCTGAAGTGATTCTTGATCACAACTTCAGACTTCAATTGCCCTTTATACTGTGTGTACATGTACAAACAATCAGAGATTTCCTCATGAAATTATGGCTTCAGCTGATACAAAGTAAAACAGCCGTTGTGCATTAAATATTTACAGATTGCTCTCAACACCACACGGCTTGAGAAATTTTCACAGATGTTTGGGAACATAAACATGTGATCACTTTACTTTACTTAACCCTAATGACCAGGTGAAACAGGGGGAGAAAGGGATGGAAAACAAGGATAGAAGGAAGGGGAAGAGAGGAGGAATCATTTCCCCTAACCCTCCTCTATTTAAGCCTGCAACGCAGGCTGGTTTTTTTCCCTCTAACTGTATGACTTACTTGTCGACTTTGTTAGAACCTGTGGGTGAAGTAGGTGATGAGCTCCTTTTTCCAAAATGAAGAGTAGATTTCTGCAAGATAAACATTGATCAATATAAAGATGGACAAATTTAAGGATTACTTGTTTATGTAGTCAGATTTCTTGCAAGCAACAACATTGTGGAATTGCAGCTGTTTGTTTACTTGAAAACAAAGATTGATTAAGTCTGAACAAAAATAATAAAAATGGTTTGCTTTAAGACATCTCCCACTGGAAGATACTAACAGTGGCAGCGTTTCTTTGGTAAAAATAAAACATCCTTGCCCAGAGTGGATTCTTCGGTTCCTTTGATGCATCTTGGATTCATCTGTTTAGTAAACAAATGCAAAATCCATTTGCGAATTTAACAATCCAATCTTGGATTTTCTCAAAAAAACAGACCCGAAGTCAGGGTTTCAACCTTAATGTATTTTTCCCTTTGTGCACAGCAAACAAATTTTAAAATAACTAAATAAATAAATAATTTAATTAATTTATTAATTAATAAAAATGCAAAAAAATAAATAAGTAGTTATTGACTGTAGTACATTCTTAACCTCTCTCAATTGGACACTTTGGCTGATCGCAAGGGTGCTTACTTATGAAAGGTTTTACTGCACATTATACAGAAAATGAGAAACTTACCAAAATGCAGTTATTCCAAGTGCTTCTAAGATAAATAAACATTGGTGAATTTTCAGCGAGGATGTATAAATTAAGTTCTGTTAATTCAAATCTTTTGGTCACAGAGTCATTCATTTCTTCATCAGAATAATTGTCCAACTCTCCAAGACTCTCCATTGACCCGTTACTGTCACTTCGGTAATGATCTCTGCGAGGTGATGGTGCCCTATACGGACCAGAAAAATCAGCAGATCTTTGCCTCTGAAAACTATTTGAAAACTCCAGTTCACTACTACTGGAGCTCCAGTTCAAGTCACGTTGCTCATTGTTACTGTTCTGCCTCTTTGGTCGTGGAGATGATGGCTTCTTTCTTCGACGTGCCTGGTCAAGGCTTGCAGCCCTAAGTCTTGTTTTTGAATTAGACTGAGTAACTGGAGATTCATGCCCAGGTGGTGGAGGTGGAAGAGGGCGTCTGCTGACTGGAGAACTAAGGTTTGCTTTCATGTCACCCGTCGATCCTGAATACAATTGTCTATGGTCATCCTTAAGATTTCGAAGATCGGGATCTGATGCACTTAAGTGAAGCCTGTTCGTTTGCACCGCTAGATATCGTGTTGTAGCAGGCTGACTCTCAACCCTAGCCATTGATGCTTTAGGATGAAGAACTGGTGATTTGCCACCACCTCGTTCAATGGCCTCAAGACTTACAACTGGAGATGTACTGAGGATGGATGCCTGTAGAGCTAACCTTGTGGATGAGCTGTTTTCACTCCTGGGAATGGTCACGGATTGGCTTGATGATGTTTGTTTACTTATCTTTTTATAAACAAGCAGAATATGTTGGTTCTTTGTCTTTAAATCTCCACCGAGAAAATCAGCAACATCATGAATCTGAAAAAAAAAATTGCACGTGATTACAAATAACTCCAAATGCTTTCAATATCATTACCGAGCGACCAACAGACTTGATTTACATGTATATCTCCCAGGCTCTAATTGTTTGTTTACTGATACATGTACCACGGCCATGTACATTGTGCAACTACAATTTTTCAACAGAGATATATGTTACTTGCCAGCTGGGAGGTCTGTATAGTGAAAACCTGTGGCCAAGGTCTTCAAAGAGCTGCTCCAGGCTGCAGGCTGAGGGCAGCATTTTCAAGTCCAAGGTCACAGTTTTTCAGTATACAGACCCACCCTAAGCCAGTAAATAACTTATTTATTTTTTCCTCAATCTCAATTATCACTTTTATAATATTTTTTGTTGACCTTTTCCACAGACACGTTGCACGCGCATTACCGTGACTGATAGATAGGAAAATCCGGACAGCACTACTTAGAACCAATCATATTGCAGGATTCGTTACCGCATACTCTTAGAAAAAAATAAAATCTGATATTTCGCAGTCACTATACATACTCTAACACATTATGGCTATGCATTATTCTGCACGGGGTATTACACCAAACACAACTTCTCCTGCCAACACACAAAGATACCCAAAACTGACTTGATTGTAAATAGTGATTTTAATTTTGTTTCTTTTTTGGAACAAAGATACTTCAGTTTGACAGATGTGATGATATATAATAAAAATCCACGAGGTGTTTCATATTTTAAGTTTTTGCCTTTAAGTGCAAAGCATCTAAAGACGTCATGCGGTATCTATTTTGTTCATTTCCCACGTGACCTAAATGAAAAACAAGCCATTATTTTTGATTAATGAATTCTTAAGACCAGCTTCTTTTGAAATATTGTTGATCAAACATTAAAGCCAATATTTCGTAATGGAAATAAGTTAGCAAGACTGAACAAAAAAGTAACTGTGTGAAAAAAGCAGATGATAGACTCCAAGAGTTTTGTTTAAATTTTTGTTCCTTTCAAAGCTTGACAGTTAATTTATAACAGAATATTCTCGTAAGTTGCATAAAAGCCGGTCACCGTTAATTCCATTATGTTCATGAAATGACCGCCCCGTTTTTCATGCAGTGCTCTCATTTACGCGTGGAAAATTTTTGTGTTGAAAATTCTTTTCAACAGCGAACAATTGAAAACACGGGCATACTAAACTGGGGATTTCGGAACAAAATTTAATGAAACATAATCTCGAAGAACTCTCAAACATTATTCACAGAAGCCAAAATAAGCGAGCGGTGACAGATTAACCGAACAACAGCTAAAGTTAGTTTAAACTTACCAACTCGATCGATGTAACGCAAGCCAAATCCACTTTCAACCTGATATCTTTGGAAGTTCGAGGCGGATTCTCCGTGATATAAAGCAATTCGTCGCCCAGCACCGCAAATTGAAAACTCTTTTTAAAACCATCTGCAACAACTACACAAGGTTCGATCACACGCACTCCTTCGTAGCGATCTTGAGGCAGTACACGCTTCAAAAAGCTGTAAACCTTTTGATGCTTTTGAACTCCTTCCTCTAGACTGGAGCCTGCCATTGTACACACTCAAAAAACGTCAAAATCAGCGGAGAAGTAAGACAGGCATAACAAATTGCCTCCAGCCATAACTTCTCGTCACGCGCGCGCCGTTTCTGTTATGTTTTCCGCCGGTCCAGCCTGCCGCCGGTCCCAATGGAGTGCACGTCATTGTCAGCCGACCAATGGGAAACGGCGATCAATGGATTGAAAAAGCGCGAGGCCGTCGCTCGCGCTAAAGCTTCGTGGCAAAAATCACGAGCATCTTGGTTTCAAGGATACAGGAAAGAAGAAATATTTCTCCGCCAAGCACAGCTTGTGCTCTAACAAACTTGAAACATAATCTTTGATCTAACCTAAAATAATTAATCAAATTCATCTTTCACTTTTTTAACAGCACATGTGGAGCTGGACACCTGCCGGATCGCCTGTATGTATAGAACACGATATAGAGAGGTACAAATAATAATAACAAGCGTGCCAAAGAATTGCGAAACGGGTGCCAATGCTTTCTCAAGAAAGCATTCAGTCGGCCTCCGTGGGCATATGGTTGTCGGGCCTCGCTCAGCTGTCGATTATTACGGGACGTTGCGTGACGAAAACAACCGGAAATTTTCCGGGAGATTTCCGGGAAAAACACCTGAAGTTTGCACACTAATGGATCATTAAGTCCCATTTTGACAAAAGGTTCGTCTTCCCGTTATTTTTACTTATGTGGGGGGAGGGGGTGGAAAAAATAGTAAATGGTAAGAACCAATTTTTTTGCATGAATTGGCCCGATTGAAACGGATTTATTATAGACACGCTTGTATCAAAACCCTCTTTTATGTCGACAGTTGATGAAATCATTCATAATTATATTGACATTCGAAACCAACCGCATGACAAAACAATCCAAAACAATCATATACCAAAAACTGAAAATAATTTACAAAAAATAAAATATCACATCTCAAACAATTTAAAGACACCAACTGGAGTTAATTCACACCAATAAAAAGTAAAGTTTCTACTCTATATTTAAAACGGATGTAAGCAAATCTGATTATTTAGAACAAGTAAAGAACTTAAAGCATAGACAAGCTGTAACTAAACTACGATCAGGCAACCACACACTTAGAATCGAAACTGGACGATACTGTATCCCTAAATTACCCGAATGTCTTAGCATTTGTCAATAGCTGGTTTTCACATGACGTCACTAAAATTCAAACTACAAAACTATTGATCTTCCTGACATTTTACTTAAATGATGTATAAGAGCAGCTGAAAACTAATATTCATACAAATTTTCGCTCCGAATGGGTTCTTGGTTTTGTGATAAACTACGCTT